GGCACTGTCTGGCTGACGGCACCCTGAGGAGACCCACTCTGTGGGAGCGTACCGGCCGATGGGAGGTAACCTGCGGCAGAAGGCGGTCTCGGAGATATCCAGGTCCGATGCCATGGAGCGCTTTAAAGATGATAACGTTGAAGTCCATGAGTCATAAAAGAGGCAAGGTTGCCTACCCCTGGTCTAGATAAATGTATTTTAAAGGCCCCTGTCCTGTTTGAAAATCCTTCTTTGGCTTAAGAACAAATCCTAGGAAAGAGATTTCTTGGGACTCCAAAATGCCTCTGCTAACATAGAACAAAATTGATTTTTAAGCAGCCACCCATTTCTATTGTGGGTAGTCACAGACTGTGTCATTTTACTCCCATGTCCCAATTGTATCAGATTAGGATCTCAGCTGATCCTACGCCGGGGTGCAACAGCCTGCTAAGCATTTGTTTAAAAAAAACCACTGCCTCCCAAGGGCTCCCAACTTACCACCGATTCCAGAGGCATAATTGCACGATTCGACAAACATTTCAGAAAAGCCCCAATCGGCTTTTGCTAGATAAAGACCTTATACACAACGTACTGTTTTCTCTAGCTGTGGAGGCAGGCCGCTCCTTGGCAGACTCCATAAGGAAGTTGAATAACATTTTAAATCTCGCAAGATGTTCCTTCCCCTCTTCTAACATTGTCAAGCCTCAGTGTCGGGGAGATAAGTGGAATTTTGGATGCTTTGTTGTCTCCTATTCTTTCTCCAGAAGGTCCTCCCTCCCTCCCTCTCCCTTTAATCTCCTGATGCCAAGGTTTGGCTGGCATCCCTGTGTTTGATTCATTGTATACCGGAGAGGGGGGGGGAATCATTCGAATTGCCAACACCACAGGGTTAAGCGGCTCAGATTTCTGGGCTGAGAAATCTGCTTATTATTACAACACACACTATTGCTGTTTAGAGAAACTGCCTCCTGACACTCAACAGCTACTGGACAAATTCATCTCCACTCATCATTACTGACACCCATTAACCAAAACTCTAAACAGACGGCTATCGTTCCAAACACACTCGGCGGGGTCCAGCCAGGGGTAAACATACTTTTTGAAACATCTTTGATTTCGAGGGGAGCGATTGAAACCGGTGCCTGATCCTCCAATACGAAAGAAAAATAAAATGAAATTTAAAAAATGGGGCTGGAAGGCGCTTCGCTTTAGACGAGCGTGTATTTGATCAAGGTAGAAACACGGGATCCTGTAGCGCAGGGGTAGTCAACCGTGGCTCTTTTATGACTCGTGGACTTCAACTCCCAGAATTCCTGAGCCAGTCACGCTGAGGGGAAAGGGAAAGGTTTCCAAGCTGAGTCATGCTGGCTCAGGAATTCTGGGAGTTGAAGTCCACGAGTCATAAAAGAGCCAAGGTTGACTACCCCTGCTGTAGCGCCATAAAAGTGTGGCCAAGTGCCTGAATAGCAGTCACATGTCTGCAGGGGCTGGCGCTGGTGGTGTTGACCATCAGAACCTCAGATATCGGTTGCAAGACCCCATTTTGGGGTCCATCACAACTGGGAATGGTTGCTAAGCGACCGGTCATAAGCTGAGGACTACATGTCATGGATAGTGCAGACGTCCAACAGAACTGCCACAGGGCTGCCACAAAGAAGAGGGGGGGGTGTCAAACTATTCTCCAAAGCACTAGAGGGAAGGACGAGAAACAATGGTTTGAAACTGACCAAAGAGAGAAGCAACCTGGAATTAAGGAGAAACTTCCTAACAGTGAGGATAATTAACCAGTGGAAGCTTCAGAAATCATGAGCGCTCCATCACTGGAGGTTTTTAAGAAAAGACTGGACAGCCACTTGTCTAAAATTATATAGGGTCTCCTGCTTGAGCAGGGGGCTGGGCTAAAAGACCTCCAAGGTCCCTTCCAGCTCTATTCTATTCTATTCTATTCTATTCTATTCTATTCTATTCTATTCTATTCTATTCTATATTAATTCTATTCTATTCTATTCTATATTAATTCTATTCTGTTTCTATTCTATTCTATTCTATTCTATTCTATTCTATTCTATTCTATTCTATTCTATTCTATTCTATATTAATTCTATTCTATTCTATTCTATATTAATTCTATTCTGTTTCTATTCTATTCTATTCTATTCTATTCTATTCTATTCTATTCTATTCTATTCTATTCTATTCTATTCTGTTTCTGTTTCTATTCTATTCTATTCTATTCTATTCTGTTCTATTCTATATTAATTCTATTCTATTCTGTTTCTATTCTATTCTATTCTATTCTATATTAATTCTATTCTGTTTCTATTCTATTCTATATTAATTCTATTCTATTCTGTTTCTGTTTCTATTCTATTCTATTTTATTCTATTCTATATTAATTCTATTCTATTCTATTCTATTCTATTCTATTCTATTCTATTCTATTCTATTCTATTCTATTCTATTCTATTCTATTCTAAACTGGTAGAGTGGCAGATCCAAATTCATTATAGGGAAATGCATCATTAATGCTTATTAATCATAATGATTACTTGGACCCTCTGTTGTCAGGTACTAGGTAAATGCCGTAGTTGAGAACCAATTTGGCAAATTTTTCCACCCAGAAAATGATTTTTTTCCCCTGTCATGAGCCAAATATATGCCATACACAAGTAGCATTGGATGTACAAATGGAGGGCCAGTGGGGAAGAGGGGATGGTTTTGCGCACGTGCACACATCACGTTCATAAATGCAGCTTCACGCGTGCATGTGCGTGAGCATGCTCGCTCACCACATCTGCGGTCCAGTTCCGAAGGGGCTGCGCAGGGGTTGGGGGACCCCTGTTCTACACTTTCTTCAATTCCATCATGCCGCATCAGGAAAACTTTGCTAAGATTCATAAAATCTGGAACCTGCAACACCACAACGTGCACACCACCTTCCCCTGCCATTCCCATGGAATTAAATGTAATGGGATGCAAAGGGATCGTACCCCACATTGAAATATTGCCTCATCTCTTGACGTCGGTTCCTCATGATTGCCTTATATTCACCGATCCGTAACTTTTTGCCATCTACTAAGCACGTCCGCTTTGGCCTGGGCTTGTACTTGTAGTCTGGGTACTTCTCCAGGTGCTGTTTGCTGAGGCGCGCCTGCTCCTCGTAGTATGGCTGTTTTTCAAGGTTCGTCATAGCTTTCCAGCGAGATCCTGATAAGGAAAGAGGAACAAGGAAAAATCAACCCTCCTTTCAAACAGTCAAAGCAGTGGGGATCATTATCTCGACTCAGATTGCCAACGGGGAAAAGTTCAAGTAGTCCTCAAATTGCAACAGTGCGTTTAGCGACCGGTCAAAGTTACAATTAATGGGTGAAATTCAGGAAAACACTTTTTCCTTTGGGTGAACAAACTGGACCAAGGCGATGCTGTGCTAATATTTAAAGAAAGAAAAACATTACAATTGCAGGAATAATACAAGAAGCAACGGATGGAAACTGATCAAGGAGAGAAGCAACCTAAAACTAAGGAGAAACTCCCTGACAGTTAGAACAATTAACTAGTGGAACAACCTGCCTCCAGAAGCGGTGAATGCTCCAACACTGGAAGCTTTTAAGAAGAGACTGGACAGCCATTTGTCTGAAATGGTATAGGGTTTTCTGCCTGAGCAGGGGGTTGGATTAGATGACCTTCAAGGTCCCTTCCAACTACTACGACTACTTCTTCTTCTTCTTCTTCTTCTTCTTCTTCTTCTTCTTCTTCTTCTTCTTCTTATTATTATTATTATTATTATTATTATTATTATTATTATTATTATTATTATTCTTATTCTTATTCTTATTATTATTATTATTATTATTCTTATATTATTATTATTATTATTATTATTATTATTTCCATTTGCTGGCTGGCCATTTTGTTTTGCCTAGTGCAGCGGTTCCCAATCTTTCCTATACCCCGTACCCCTAGAACGCTTCTCATATATACTCATACCCCTTACAAAAAATTATGCAATACACACTATAATTTTGAAATTTTTAAACCCAAGTTTTCGCACCCCCTGGAATATCGTCTCGCACCCCCAGGGAGTGCGAGCACCCCTGATTGGGAACCCCCGGCCTAGTGGAACAGGGGTGGACATTTGTTTCTTAAAAAAGGGAAGAAGGAAAAAAAACTTAACTCTTGACGGTCATAATCTGGGGTGGGAGACCGAGAGAGGGAAGGGGAAAAAAAAAAGATCCAATGGGATATTACTTAGTCATGCTTTGTTGTTCTCAATCCCTTTGGGGAAACTGAGGTGAATGGAAAGAAAGATTGCATGGAGATTCTTGCCATGTTCCTGTCAGGAAAATGTCACAGGGAGTGTGTTTCTTTCATGTGATGCTCTAGAGAGGCCATTTAATACAGGTAATCCTCGAGTTACAGCAGTTCATTTAATGACCAAAAAGTGACTTATGACCGCTTTTCACTGTTATGACCGTGGCAGCATCCCCATGGTCATGTGATCAAAATTTGGATGCTTGGCAACTGACTCATATTTATGGCAGTTGCAGTGTCCCAGGGTCATGTGATCAGTTTTTCTGACCTTCTGACAAACAGAGTCAATGGGGAAAACCAGATTCACCTTACAACTGTGTTATTAATTTAACTTCAGCGATTCACTTAATAGCTGTGGCAGGAAAGGTCAGAAAATGGGGCCAAAACTCACTTTAAAAACTGTCTTGCTTAGCAAAAGAAATTTTGGGCTCAGTAATGGTCACAAGTAGAGGACTGCCTGTGAAGCTTTTTGTAGGATTCGATGCTGCCTCGTTTTATTCTAACTAGAAATGGTAGAATAGGGGCAGTTTACAATTTATTTTTTTTTTAAAAAAACTAAGACATAAATAAAATGCTATTCGGTTAAAACTGTTCTTTGGCCCAATTTAATTTGAGCCTCAGTAATTAATCCCTTAATTTGTAGACCCCAGTTTAGCAGGCCCGCAATGCAAACAGACAGTATACAAATTTGAATCACTATTGTTTAACAAATTAATCCATAACTACTGCTTACACGACATACATTCCTTAAATCTTACATACATTAGGGACCTTCTGTAAAATTCATGTGAGAGATATAAATTTTAATTTTTACATTGTATGAATTCCGCTTTGCTGGACATTTGGCTTGAACAGAAACTATTTCCTCAATAAATCCATAAAAACAATCTTTTACTGTAAGGATATAATTATAATAACGCTTCATGCACTAAAATCTAGAAAGGAGGATTTAACCATTTAATTACTTGCAGTGGTAGCCAATATTTGTCTTAAATGTATTCTGAAAACACTTACCTTTTTTTATTAGTTAGTCGTTAGGCCATTATATAGTTCCTCAGTGCTAGAGAAAATATAATGAAGAGCCATGCACAAGAGGTGTAAGTAATCACAGATCCCATGTTCCCATCCCAAAAGGAAAACCAGGGGATCCTATGGAGATCTAGAGATCTAACTCTCTGCAGTTATCAATGTCTCTCCTGCCCTCGGGTGCCTCCATTCTCTTTCCAGCAAAACACTTTTTTTTTTTAACCTTATCCAAATCATAGATTTACCCAGAAACATAAAGAGTGAGACGGTTTGGTGGAACGATGCTTCATCAGAAAAACACACCATGTGGGCTTCGGACATAGGATGTATGCCAAGAAGAAAAGAAGAAAGAAAAATATATTTCTTGCAAAAAAGACCCCAATAGTTGTGAGTCTCTTAGCCTCTCCAGTTATCAACTTTTCCCTGCTGAGTTAAAAAAACAACAACTGGCTTTTGACAGATCAGAAAAGTCTTCTGTATAAAAAGTAGTCCTCAATTTACAACTGTTCATTTAACAACCATTCATCGTTACAACAGCACTGGAAAAAATAATCTATGACCGTTTTTCACATTTACGACCATTTCAGCATCCCCACAGTCATGTGATCAAAATTCAGATGCTCATATTTATGACGGTTGCAGTGTCCTGGGGTCGTGGGATCCTGTTCTGTGACCTTCTGACAAGCAAAGTCAATGGGGAAGCCTGATTCACTTAACAACCTTATTACTATCTTAACAACTGCACTGACTCACTTAACAACGGTGGCAAGAAAGGTCGTAAAAGGGGGCAAAACTCACTTAACAGCTGTTTCGCTTAACGACAGAAATTTTGGACTCACTTGTGGTCGTAAGTCAAGGACTACCTGGACATATATCTGACTCCTCTTCCTTCCTTTTTCTTCCTTTTTTCCTTTCTACACTACAGTTCAAAGAATAAAAGAAAAAAGAAAAGAAAGAAATCTTGCTTCCATGTTTGCAAACCTCATCAAACTTTCAACAGAAGGAAGCTGAGGGCTGACTAGGGCTGTCAACCCTGTTAGAATCTGGAACGAATTTGCACATTATCGTCCACCTACTGTATATTTAATCAGAAAAAGATGCCTCTGGAGTTCCAATTGCATTCTTTCTCCTCATTTCCCAGCCCAAATCCAGGGCGAAACAGTAAAAGATGATTCCTTATGTTTAAAAAAAAAAAAAAATTCAGCCGAAATGCACTTATTAAAACCAGATTTGGAGGGTATTATAAAATGCTTAGAAACCCTTTAAAATGTCAACACAGATCCTCCGGAGACGGCTTTACTCAAAATGTCAGTCTGGTTCAAACACCTATTTTAAGCAGAATGAATTAGCCGAGACCACTTGGCAGTTGTTATCTAAAAACAATCAGTTCAGATTGGGGGAAACCTTGAGACCCCTTTTGTACTTTTATATATAAAAAGTGGGGGGGTGGGAGGGAGGGAGGGGGTGTTCCCTCTACTCAGACCAATTTGGGAAGACGATTACTTAAGTAAGACAAGTTTAATCAAGAACCCTCTTAAAATGAGAGTGGACGAAACTGTTTGCCTCTTGAATCACAGGCCTAATCTTGTGGCCGTAACCGGTTTTAAATCCTCTTGGCTGGCATATATGCATTTTATCATCCCCGAAACAAATGTACTCGCCTTATCTCACTTTCTTCTGACTAATCTAATCAATTCAGGCACCCTGTTAAAACTGTCCGACTTGCCACCGAGCTCAAATGCGGGAATTCTGTGAATCTGTCTGGCATGAAATCAATAGCTACGGTTAATCCTGCTCTTAGAAGCGTTTTCTTCAATGGCCGGATTTCACATTCGGTAGGAGATATTGACATAATACTTGGGGAGAAATTTGGGATTATGCATTGGAATGCAAAGATTAGAAGAAAACAAAACTCTTTGAAAGTAATTATTCAGGGAGTTTTAAGGTTTATAAAAAGCCATAAAAAGGAACAGGCCTATCTTGACGGGTAAGAGAAATGCTGCATCTCAGTGCCAATGAATGAGAATTGCGAGGCAGTTGTGAAGAGATGGGTTGCATTCTTTACAGAATACAGAATAACAGAGTTGGAAGGGACTTTGGAGGTCATCTAGGCCAACCCCCTGCTCAGGCAGGAAGACCTACATCATTTCAGACAAATGGCTGTCCAGTTTCTTCTTAAAAACCTCCAGTGTTGGCGCACCCACAACTTCTGGAGGCAGGTTGTTCCACTGATTAATTGTTCTCACTGTCAGGAAATTCCTCATTAGTTCTTCTTTATTTCACAGCTTCTGATTGTGGCACATTATTTGGAGAGCAATGAATGGGGCATCCTTGAAAGGTGTCAGTAGGTCTCCAAAGCCTTCTGAAGCATCTCAGAACGATCCCTGCTGTTATGTATTAAGAACTAATCTTAATGTGTTATGAAACGTATCTCCAACTGTTTTGGAGGGAAACGTCAAAAGTTCAAGTTTGGGCGGGAGCGAGCTAACGTTGCGATTGGCTAATACCCTAGAGGCGGAAAGTATCAATTGCAGCCATTTGTCAGTTTTTGCCAGTTCTGTTCTGAGTTAATAAACACCGTTGAACCATGCCGGTGTGGTTATTGCCTACGAAACCCACTACACCAGTGGTTCTCAACCGGTGGGTCGGGACCCCATTTGGGGTCGATCGACCATTTCACGGGGGTCGCCAAGCAAGGCTGTCCGCCATTTTTTTTGTCCATTTTTTTTGTCCGCTATTTTTTCCCCTTTTCCGGCGGGTGCCTTACCTCCCTTGGGCTGGGCCAGCTGGTGGTCGGCCTGCTCTGTCTCTGCCGCTTGCCAGCTACGCCTCGGCCGGCGCAGGGGGCGGAACCACGCATGCGCGGCGCTCCCGGGCAGGGAAAGTCCTCGACTTACGACCGGTTGGGTAGTCCTCAACTTATGACCGGTTTAGTCCTTGACTTATGACCGGTTTAGTCCTCAACTTACGACCGGTTGGGGTCGCGGCATTAAAAAGGTTGAGAACCACTGCACTACACAATACCTGCCACTTGGGAGAAAGGTGTGCACTATGTGGAGAAAAATGCACACCCCTTGGAGAATGGTTTTGTCATACAGGAGGAGCTCAACTTACGACCACCATTCATTTATGCCCAAAGAAAACAAGAGCGTTAAGAACGGCACATCTGGCAAATCCTGTTTCCTCCCCCTTACCCAATATTTTGCTGATGTTGGAGTTGTGCATATCAGGGAAAGCCTGGAGGATCTTTCGCCGTTCGTCTTTTGCCCACACCATGAAGGCGTTCATCGGACGCTTGATGTGCGGCTCGTTGCTCCCACGTCCTCTGGATTCTCGGTAAATCCGAGATTCTGAGACTCCCGCGCTTCCTAAAAAGTTGGGTGAAAGGAGAGATTAGGCAGGGAGCAAATATTATTTCATTTTATTCATCCTCCCATCACAGACATCCCGTGGAAGATTCATCCCACCTGGATGTAGAGCCTTATTTATTTCACCATTGAATTTACAACAGTTCTCCGTGGAACTTCAGTGACTCTAGTCTATTTATTCCCAAGGAGATTTTTCAAGAGGCAACTGGACTTCCTTTGTTTTTCCTTGAAGATATTTTTCTTCTCAGGTAAGGAGCTTCTTCAGTCCTGACTGAATGGTGGCGAATGGAAGGTTTTATATTCCTTGCGGTCATCTCCACCATTCTCCAGTTGCCTCTTGAAAAAGGACCTTTGGGACAACCATGGCCTGGATGACTGAGAATCTCCACAGCCATCTAGTCTAGGTTGATTTCTTTCTTCGCCATGTTACGGTGCCAAATCTGTCTTTTGTCTGGGTTCAGACTCAGCCAAGGACTTTGCAGGAAATAAGGAAAAAAAATAATTCCACAGATTGAAAGCATCCCACCCCCCCAACTTTTGCTGAGTTAATGTTTCTTTCCATGCTTAAGGAGCAAAGATCTCAAGGCTCTTTCTTCACCGACCGTGTGTGCCCAGGCACGGCTGGAAAGAAGGCAAAAAGCCGGGGCTACTGACCGTCGGAGTCTCCGCTCATGTTGAAATCTATCATCGCGTGGCTAAATTTCCCGTCTTCGTTCTGTTTGACTGCCAGCTGTTGAGTCAGATTCTCCAGTGTCGTTTTGTCCTGGATGAGGGAAGAAAAGAGAATACAAAGCCGTCTTTTATTAATATGCAACGAAGCCGCAACATAAATACGTAATTTGAAAGGTTTCTTGGGGGGAAAGAAGATTAGCATATAAGAAAAACTTGTTGAGTTGGGAAAATAAATTAATGGGGAAAGTAACAATCTTTTTTTTAGAAAGGAATTAAGAATTACGATTGTGGATATTCATTCTTCTCGGCAAAAGAATGGGGTTTTTTTTTGGCTAATGATGTGCAAATCCCCAAAACTTTGTGAAACTCAGATTGTTATAATAATTATTTGAATGCCCAAACTCCAAATAGCTTCTCGGAGTTGGGCGGCCTTAACAATCCTAATAAAGCATTATTTTCTTTATATTGTGATGTTAGCTGCTCAGAATCGTTTGTTGGGTGGGGTGGACCTGTAAACTGATAATCAAGCTGAGGTCCCGCTGACTATGTCCATACTTTTTCTGCACTGATGAGGTTTGATGGATTTGTTTACAGATAAGAGATGCGATATGGGAAGAAGAGATAATTTGTTGTATTTTAAGATAAGGTGGTAAGTTACACTAATAATATCGTTTATATTGTATTTGTGATGAAGTGGGAAGTCATTTCTTTGTATACAGGTAATCCTCAATTAATGGCTGTCATCAAATCAGTGGGATCATCAAATCAGTGCATGAGATAGTATGGCAAACTCTGGCCTTCCGTTCTGAAAATTAAATTAAATTTCAGGTCTTTCCTGTTAAATATATGTCCAGCAATTCCAACTCCCCAATTCTGTAGCTATTCATCTAGCCCTTACTGGGCCAATCGGCCTTATTTTTTTAATCACATTAATATCCCACCATAAGATAGGAAGATCAAAGGACAATCTAAGAAAATGGGGTTCCCAAGAAGATGCTCTGTGTGAATACAGAGAAAACCAATCCATTTCATATTTGTTATGGTGCATACGATGCCCTTCAACATGCAAGGAGGAAGACCTCATGCTGGCGAGAGAAAATGCTATCAACGTGGTCCAATATTGGGCGAAAGCCATTTAGTTTTAATCCTACTTATTTTACTTCCTTTTAAACCTACTATATTTTTATGACCTATTTTATGCCAATTTTACTTGCTCGGTATCAAATGTTATACCTCTATAATGTGTAGGTGCTTGTGACCCAAATAAAGAAAGATCCCACCCCAATCCCAAGTAGATTCCCATCAGTCCACAAGAGAAGACAATAATTAAACCACAAATAGTAGAAAAAACACAATGCCTACAGACCTCAAATATCAATACACAAGTGCCATCCAGAGAGTAGCAGTAGCAGCAGCACTTTTATACTGCTTCACAGTGCAGTATACAATGTCAGCCTATTGGCCCCAACAATATGGATCCTCATTTTGCCGACCTCAGAATGATGGAAGGCTGACTCAAACTTGAGACTGTAAGGATCGAACTCCAGGCGGTGGGCAGAGTTAGCCTGCAATACTGCCCTTTAACCACTATGCCACCAGGGCTTCAGCTGTGTCTTCAGCTGTTTCTGGAAGAAGGAGCCAATCAAAGGTCCTTTCCTTCATACCTGATGGCCCCCAGCTTTCCATTCATTCTGTCAATCACTGTACTCCAGGTTCTTTTGAGTTTTCCCTTAATTATGAAGCTGGATTAACTAGGGCAGGGCAGTTGGAAAACAGCCATTAATTGTTTGGAACTCTGGCATGCATCCACACAATTTTTGTGAACACAAGCTTCTTACAAGCCCATGTTATGCCTCAAAGCACTCTGAAACAACATTGAGCACCAAGGACATAGCTCAGAGTGATATGCCTCTCTTTAGTCTTTAGATAAGCAGGCGGAGCTGGGGGCGGAGGGCGGAGTTAAGTGCCTCATCAGCTGAGAGTCATTACGTTCCCACAAATGGTCCAAGTTCAACCCCTCCCTTATTTGGTGCCAATTTACTTTTGAACTTTAGTTGACTAGATTCTTTTATCTAGAATTGAATAGATCTTCTGTGCTGCAACCTAATGGATGGTCCTGATTCTTTGCACCTGATATTATCGCAGGGTTACCCAACCGTGACAATTTTAAGATACGATAAGATAAGACCTTTATTGTCACCTCTCTCTCTCTCTCTCTCTCTCTCTCTCTCTCTCTCTCTCTCTCTCTCCCTCTTGCTCTCTGTCTTCTCTCTCTCTCTCTTGCTTTCTCTCCCTCTCTCCCTCTCTTGCTCTCTCTTTCTCTCTCTCCCGCTTGCTCTCTGTCTTCTCTCTCTCTCTCTCTCTCTTGCTTTCTCTCCCTCTCTCCCTCTCTTGCTCTCTCTCCCTCTTGCTCTCTGTCTTCTCTCTCTCTCTCTCTCTTGCTTTCTCTCCCTCTCTTGCTCTCTCCCTCTCCCTCTTGCTCTCTGTCTTCTCTCTCTCTTGCTTTCTCTCCCTCTCTCCCTCTCTCCCTCTCTCCCTCTCTTGCTCTCTCTCCCTCTCTCCCTCTCTCCCTCTCTCCCTCTCTCTCTCTCTCTCTCTCTCCTGCAGTCCTAAGGCCGGAAGACGCTTTCATATGCTTTTATATGCAGAACTGCCAAACGATCGCGTGGTGAGCGCACAAGACCTTCTATTTGCACAAGTTCAACTGGAACCGCTTTTAGCTGCCGTTCACTGCAGCCTGACACTGGAGTCTCTGTTTCGGGGACAAGGTGACCCCCCTCACCTCTCGCTACTCAAACATGCAGTATAATAAAATAATTCAATTAGTCACCATCGAAAGGAAAGCTGAGATAATTCTCAGAGGCTGTCACTCCACAACAAACCATGTCAAAACAGTCAGCCATGCTTTTATGGTGCCCCTCCGAGCCATGACTTGTGTGAACCTTCAGTCAATCTTGGTGCCGAGGAAAGGGAGAAAAATGGCATGTGGGAATCGGTGGCGGAGCAAGGGAGGTGAAAAGCGAGTTGCAAAAAGCTTTAATTATAAAACAAATCAGGCGGAGATGGCCCCCAATAGTTACACTGAACCAATCAAGTAGCAAAACACTGTTCCTCCCCCTACCTCTCTCTCTTTCTCTCTCTCTCTCTCTCTCTATATATATATATATATCAGAAACATTCGCACGAACAAAATACATTATTTGATTTGAAAACAAAAGACCTGCCAATCCACAAATTAAATGATTTAAATCAAAAACGGGACAACTTTTTAAGTCATGTCTCTGCTGGGATGTAGAAGGGGGTTAGAGGGGAAGAAAAGCATAAGTTTTTAAAAGACCTAATTAATGGGGGTTACATTATTTCCTCAATGCTCATTTCAACTAGTGAAACAGTAAGGTATTTCTGGACTATTCTATGAAACCCAGTGCTATTGTTTACAGAGAGTGGAAAAGGGAGATGAAGAGTGATCACCCAGTGCAGGGGTCTTCATACTTGGCAACTTTAAGACTTGTGGACTTCAACTCCCAGAATTCCTCAGCCAACCAGGGCTGGCTGAGGAATTCTGGGAGTTGAAGTCCACAAGTCTTAAAGTTGCCAAGTATGAAGACCCCTGACCCAGTGGAATCACTTGAAGAAGAGATATTGTCTTATAATAAGCTACACAAAAGAGTACAGTAGTCCTCGACTTACAACTACAACTGAGCCCCAACATTTCTGTTGCTAAGCGAGACAGTTGTCAACTGAGTTTTGCCCTATTTTACAAGTGATGTTGGGCGGCGAACAATCATAAAACAATTAAAAACCGCTAACAACATAGTACAAAGCTAAGTATATGTGGCAGTTGAGGAAAAATAGCCACCATAAATGTCAATATAGCCAGGAAATGGGCCCTTCACACACACTCAGGGCCCCAGACCAGGGCACATAATATAGTCTCCAAGGCCTTATGAAAGGCCAGCAAAGTTGGAGTCATCCGGATCTCTGAGGGAGAGAGAATGTGCCAGAAAGCAGGCAGCAGCGAAGGCACTTCTCCTAGTCCCATCCAGCCGACATTCCTTGGCTGACAATCCCATAGCATGCCTAACCTGTCAGACCAAATTCGACAGGTAGCAACCATTGGGAGAAGACAATCCCTCAGGTAACCCAATCCCACTTCAACATTTCAAATTTCAACATTTCATGTTGTCTTCCATCTGGCTTTCAGTTCTGTGGTGCAGCTCTGAAATTCTAGATCCTAAATCTAATTCTCCAATAGGAGCTTTCCTCTTCAGATGCCAGAGTGGATTACTTCAAAATATGGCCAACATTTTTTGCTGTATTCGGAAGGCTTCCTGTTTATAAAACTGAGGTTGCCTCGGACTTCAGTTCATGCTAAAACACCCTCTATTGCAGCTTTTTTCACCACACTTCAAATTAAGTGCTGCTTCTTGGTCTATTTAATCCTGCTCAGGATTTGGGTTCTGAACTTTGAAGGCCACATAAGGCCCAAACCCAATAGCTAAGTCATTCAAAGAAGAGAGAAAAAGACCTCAAAAACACCTCGAGGCAGAAAAAGAAGCCATGGATGGAATTAGAACAATAAACCAGTGGAACGGCTTGCCTTCAGAAGTTGTGGGTGCTCCATCATAGGACGTTTTTAAGAAGAGATTGGATGAACATCTGTCTGAAATAGTATAGGGTCTTTTGCTTGAGCAAGGTGTTGGAGTAGATGACCTCCAAGGTCCCTCCCAACTCTGTTATTCCGTTATTCTAGTCTGAGAGTAGTATGTGCTGAATTACATGCTTCGCAGGAGAGAATTTTAATTCAGGGGCATGCCATCCTTCAGTCAACAAAAGGAAAAAGATCTGTTTTCCCCATCCCATCCCACTCACAAATTAACGGCAGCCTGCCGACGGAGGGACAACCCACCTCCCTTTGGCAAAATCCATTTAGCAATTTCAAAAAGGGGAAGCACAATGGTTTCAGATTTGCCCGTTAATCATGGCTAACTGCACAGAACAGAGTCAGTTTTAAAGCATGTTGGGACTCTTCATGATTCAACTGTTTGGTTGTGCCCACCTCCACAGGAGAGAACGTCAATTCTGAAAATA